AAGGTGAGCGGACAGGAAGGAGGTGGATAGATAGAGGTGTAGGATGCAGTGGAGGGCTTTGTGTTGAAGAGAAGGTCAAGTTAGAGCTCTTTGGTTTTATTCTTTAACATCTGACTCGCTTTGCTGTGTTGCTGGAGAAACCTTTGGACTAAAGCTGTATTGTAAAAGAGAGAGAGAGAGAGAGAGAGATAAAGAAGCAAGGGATGAAAGAGAGGAAGAGCATGTATGTGTGGATGAGAGTGGGTGGAGGAAGACGTAGCAGCTTGTTTTCTGTTCTGCTTGCTGTGTCTCTCGTTCTCCAACAACAATGACATCTCTCATGCCTTCGTGTCCGGAGATATTAGCTTTCTGAAGCTTAAACATTGATTCTTGCATTTTAAATAAATAGCTCCACATTTTGGGAAATTTGCTTTCTTGCCAAGAGTTAGATGAGTTCATTGATACCACTCATATCTTTGTACAGATATTTGAAACTAACGCGGGGAAACAGGTAGTCTGGCTCTGTCCAAATGAGGTGGAAATTATGAATCACTTTGCTGATTCAAATGGTTTCCTTCAGTTCAGTTCAAATAGTTGTTGCCACTGACTATGTTCACTGTTTGTCTAAGATAAGATAAGTGAATGGATTACAGTTCAAATGCACTTCAGGTTGTGCAGCAGTAAACAAATGCATCATCATTCATAACTCTGTCTTCATTAAGTGCAGTAAAAGCTCAGACTGTTGCTGGTTAAAGTTGTTGCTTTCAGTTTAGGGGCCAAAACAAGCTCTGTTTTTAAGATTTAATAGCTCTGAAGACACGTCTTTGCAACACTTATCAAATCCTAATTGTTTATGTGACTGTCTGTGTCTTTCATTAAGCCTTAAACCAGACCGTAACGTACTGTGAATCAAGGCTGAGCTACAACCAATGCTCTAAGTCACCAGTGAGGGGCGCTCCACAGCTAAAAGCTACTGATTCGGCATAGTTGGTTTAGTCTGAAGATGGTATTAAACACTAATCCACATACCAGCACCTCTATAGCTCAGTAATTTATGTTATATTGTTATACACTTTCAAAACCCAGTGTAAAACAACACTCTGTGGTTGTATGGGGACTGTCCTGGAGCTACTTGTGGGCCTCAGTGACTTCCTGGAGTATTGTCGTGTCCACTGGCTGCCGGCTGTAGCTTCATATTTACCTAACAGACATGATCATCTAACCCTTGGCAAGAAAATGAATAACTGTATTTCCCAGAAAGTTGAGCTATTCCTTTAAAGCTTCTTTTCTAGATGTTGTTGTAAAGGCACATCTCTGATTCTGTCTGTCTTGCCCACAGAGACGTGATGAGATGTTATTGTGTGGAGAGAGAAATACCAATGAATCTGCTGGCGTACATACCAGAGAAAAGTGGAGTTTCTGAACACTCTAGTGGACATCAGGATTTAAGGGAGCGTGTACATCATGCAGGATCCCATGGCAGGGCATTAACTTTGGTATCATTCACTAAGGGGGTATCCCCACCACAGAGATCCACACTTTACACCCGGTCACTAAAACCCTGAGGTACACAAAAAAAAAGGTGCCTGGTCAGAAACACTGCTTCCATTTTCTCTGAATACACAGAGAGAGCAAAACAAGAAAATGGACTCTTGGGGAGGATTCAGTCAGTTTGCACACATCTCCCTCCAGCTTCCAACATCTCAACACACAGAGGAGTGTTTGTACGTGTCACCTAGCAACCCCGGTCTCAGCCGTTCCCCAGTTATCTGCCCTGCGGCACTCCCTGATACACATGGACATCAACTGGTCAATATGCCCCCTCATCAGGCAATAAAGACCTAAAGGCGAGAGAGGGCTTTTGGCGACCTTGGTGATAAAGTTGCTCTCAGGCTCTCGAAGCTTTTTTAAGCCAAAAATTGATCCAGATTTGATCCTAGATCTGTGCCAAAGAGCAGCTTTAAACCCACAGTCCGTGTTTGACAGGGAGGAAGCAGTGAGGGTCAGATATGAGGAGAGGGCTGTGTTCAAAGCTCAACACAGACAGCGGGAGGTGTTTTCCAGGGGGACAAGGTGTTGTGTGTGTGTGTGTGTGTGTGTGTGTGTGTGTGTGTAGACCGGAGCATGAACCAGCAACGGCCCTTTGACCTTAAATGGCACCTTCTGAATTCCATGGAGAAAAATCTGCAATCTATTCGATGATCTGTTACTTCCCAGATCAATCCAAAACCTCTGTGTTTGCCTCCATTAGGACAACAACCTTTGACCTAGCCTTAACTGTGTTTGCTCCCGGTCCACACTAACACACAGTCCACACATACCATCCCAGTACCCCCTGATCCCCACTTCAACCCCGCATTTTAAAGCATTCATCTATTTGGTTTATCATCAAAGAATATGAGGTATATGATGAACTATCTCTCTTTTACATCCTATAGTGGATGAAGAAAAAAGTTAACTTATAGAAAAGCGGAAACAAAAAGAGACAAAAAGCTGAAAGAGAGAGAGAGAGAGACAAAGTGAGAAGTTAGAGGGCAATTTAAGGCTGGGAATCCAAAATCATCCTCTTCTCTCTTGCCTCCGTCATTCCTCTCTGTCATGTAAAAAACTTTAGCCTTTGCCCTGGTTGATCTTCTTCTTTTGTGTTTTTGGTTGTGTAGCTGTAAAGCTTTCAGTGTGTTCTCCCCGTGGAGAAAATATAGAGAGAACAGAGGCAGCACTGCGTCTCAAAGAACACCTCACGCTGTAACTCAGGCAGTTTTACACACAGAAATTATATTTATACTTTCTCCATTAAAACAGGATTTCAACTTGCCTAATAAAGGCATGTGTCTGTCTGGAAAGAAAACACCAGTTTCCTTTTTTCACCTTGAAAAGTAAATTATGAGGCGTTCATCAATACAGTGCTGCCTCTTGATATTTTGAGCTTCCCCTCCCCTCTAAGAGGAGAGTCGTCTCAGTGAGGAAGAGAATATCTTTATGGCTGATCATCCAATCGGCCATATTCTCTTATTAAGTCCCTACAGGACCCGTGGTTGCATTTCTGGTATTATTTGGTTTAAAGAAGTAAGAAAGAACTTCAGCAGGGGGCAACAAAGAATAAAAAAAAATCAATCACAAGTACATCCCAGAATATGAAAAAAGCACCTCTAGAAAATAAATTAAAAAATAAATAGCAAAAAGACAAAGAAGATAACAAGCAAATAAATCAACCCTACCCTGAATAAATAGTACAATCAAAAGTCTAAATCATCGCAATAAGGAGAAATAAAAAAGTCCAAAGAGAGATAGTTAAAATTTTTGGTCTAAAATCAAGTTATTATCATCAATGTTTTTTAGGATCTTTTTTTTTCTCAAAGTCTTTTTTGTACGTTTTTTTCTTTTTAATACATTAGCGATAAGTAAGCAGTAGAACATAGATCTTTTTTCTACAAAATCTATAGAAGCACTAACAGATACATTCCGTCTAAGAGTCAATGTGGAGAAAAGGTTTCACCTTTATGGTGCAAACCCCACATCTAAAGTTTGGTTCGCGAAACGATTCTCGTGTGTCGACTGTTTTTTCTGGTGTGGATCAAACCAAATATTCTTTGGATATGTTTACGTTCCAACTCTCAAAACTGTCAACTTGACTGAGGCCCCTGCTGTGTGGGTTTTTCTGTATCTGAAGCATGTATTATGTCGCTGGGGTCAAAATTAATGACAAGACATCACTGCAGACCCTATTCAGTTTTTTTTTTTTTTTTTTTAACCGTTTGGCCTTCCATAATCACTTACATACAGAAAAACGCACAGTTTCGCCTCAGACAAATTGACTTAACCCATTTCTGTGCCCTCATGCAGAGAAGGCAGTTCCTGTTCCTCTCTACTGTGTTTGGTTTGGTTCAGTATTTGGTTTGGCATTTTTAAGGTTTTGCTATTCAACTCTTTGTTTTTGGCTTTTTGTGTGTCTTTTTTCTGCCAAGACAGTCTGTTTCTTTATCTAATAAAAATCTGGAAGCTAAATTTTCACAGTATTTTTTCCAATCACCTGATAAAAATCTCTAGCACGACTACGAAAAAAATAAGGAGCTCTTGTAGTAAGTAAGCGAGTACGTTATTCCAAATGAGTAATAAGCACTAAAGTACAGTACATAAAACGGCATCAAGAGACACAGCAGAGATAAAACAATCAGAACCAACCAACAGAAAAATAAAAACAGATTTTTAGAAGATTTCAGTTCAGTGAGGTCATTTGCGTTTAGCTCCATCCAGGACCAGAGAGCTGAGCTGGAGAGAGTGAGAGGCAGAGGAGGGGAGGAATTGTCTGTCCTTCTTTTGCTCGTCTGTCTATCTGCCTGTCTATCAATCCCTCCATCCATGCTACACAGTTTCAGAGCGGGGCGAATGCTGCAGCCCTAAAGCTAACACACAGACAGACAGACAGACAGACAGACAGAGATACACTGCTTTCAGCACCTGCACTTTGTCCTCCTCCCCTCCTCCCTCCAGCCACATTTGGTTAGGGTTCTTTTTGGTTTGCTTCTGTCATTCCTTGGGTTGTGTTTTTTTTTTGGTTTGGGTTTATTTTTGGTATCCTCTTACAAAAAGTGTGACGCCTGCTCCCCTCACTACAGTGTGTCCCTCCTTCGCCTGTCCCAGTGTACCCTTCTTTCTGGGGGTTCGGAGTAAAGGATCAGTTTCCTAAATAAAGCTTCCCCCGCGGGTTTTTGGACGGGCCAGGTGGAGGGGATTACACCAGGGGGCTTCCAGTGGTAACGTCCTGTTCTTAGCCCCCACCTCTCCCCTTCTGTCTTTATTGTGTTCATATGTCTTGGCTGAGGCTCTTTACGAAGAGCTTGAGACAGCCTTGAGAATGCTTTGGTTTCCATTTGAGAATTAATGGCAGTCTGAGGTGGAAAATGACAGTGAAATATGATTGATGGAGTGATGATGGAAACAGACAAATATCAGTAAACATGTCTAGACAGACAGGTGTCGGGGGCGTCTACGCTGATTGACGAGGCAGGAATGAGAGCCGACTGTGACTAAACTTGGCTTTATTGACTTATTTAGCCTTCAGTCTCAACGGTTATTACTTCAAATCTCCAATCACAGCCCTATTTCATACTTTCAAAATGGTCGCCACTCTTAACAAACGTCATTTTCACTGTGTGAAGTTTCCAGGGCATGTTCATTTAGCCATGGAGTCCCCCGATAATGGGTTATCTTAAAGAGTGATGAAAGAGTGGTCTGATTAAGAGCACAAAATGTCACATGTTTAGGTCTTAATAAAATTCATTCACACCTTGAAATCAACTTGCAGTGTGCCAACTCTATTTTGGATCTATGGCACTTGGTGAGGACTGAAATGAGCAACTTTTCACCTTCATCATCTCTGTTCCAGCAGAATAGTCACATAAAAAAAAACAAAAGAAGCATGTTGACAACACAAATGCATATGATGAAGACGATGATGATGACACTGATGATGATTCAAACCCCAAAAGCTAACACTAAAACAAATATTGGCTGCGACAATAAATAGGAACTGGATTGTAAAATGATACTAATAAATAATTAAAAAACAAATCCCAACTGTACTTCTCAAAGTGTAAAAAATAGATACTGAATAACAAGCCTCTGTCAAGGAATCTGAAATAAAAAGGAGAGCGGAAAAGCTATTGTATGCTCTTAAAACCAGAGGTAGGTAAAGAGACTAACATAAGAAGATACAGTAGAACTGGCAATCATTCATGAGCTCTTGACTCATTCAGTAACAATCTTTTACAAAATTATCTAAAATATCTAGCATGAAAACCTATAAGAGACACATGAGTTGACGCAGACAGGATGAGTCGATGGCTAGATGGATTGATGTGTGTTTGTGTGTGAGTAGCAGTAGCAGTAGAGTCCTGGTCCTGGATAGCTTCAGTATTTACACGTCCTTTGAATAAAGCTTTTCTCTCCGTATTTTTGGTTTTTGGTATTTGGGATTTTGGTATGGTTGTCATTTTTTTTTTTTTTTTGTCATTGTGTATTCCTCCTCCGCCTCCTCCTCAGGTAAATTTTTGGTTTAAACTTATCCTCCCTACTCCTCTTCCTTCAGACCCGCAGCTTTTCGAAATAATAAAAAAACGAAAGGAAAACGTAAGCACAGTCCTCCTCTCCATTTTTTGTCCTTGCCGCCATTCCTTTGTCACATAGTAAAGTTATCTTTTGTCATTTTTGGTTTATGCACTCCGACATGCATCTCTGCCGTCTCTTCCATCTCTTTGTTAAAGAGTCATTGGTTTGTTTTCCTTCAGAGAGAAAGAGTGGAGAGGCGCCATGCCGATATCACGCGTTATTGACAAAAAGGTCCCACGTTGCCTCCTCCCCATCTGTCTGGATAGATAAAGATTTTTGGTTTCAATCTTCCCCTTTCTCCCCTTCTCCCCTCTTTCACTTCTTTCCCTCCCTCTCTCCTCTTTCATTCTGTGTATTTTTGGCATCGAAAGACTGGGAGAGAAAGAGAGAGAGAACCATTGCGAAAAAAAAACGGAAGAAGAGCACAAGAGAGAGAGAAAGAGATAGCTTTGGTGTGAAAGGCGAGGTTCTCGTGTCCTCCTTCCTCCTCCTCTCTGATTGGCCCTTGGCGCGGTCACTCAATCTTGGCTCCGCCCAGAGAGGGCGGGCTGTGTGCCATTTCGCTGGAGGAGCAGGAAGAGGCGGGGCTTGAGCAGGGGGAAGGGGAGCAAGGGGTGGGGCTGATGCTGCTGGCTGAGGGAAAAGGAGAGGACTGGGAGGCTTTGGCTACGGCGGCGCTGATCAGTCCAGCGCCGGGGTTCTGGCCCATGTGGAGGAAGGCGGGATGGTTGAGGAAGAGGGAGGAGTGGAGCCCTCCCTGGCCTCCAGAGGCCCCCAGCATCACCTTACTGCCCCCCTCAAGACTGGAAAGAGGCAGCTGGCCACCACTGGCTGCTAGGGCTGCTGTAGAGAGAAGAGACGAAGATTAAAGGAATATAACACTTTTATAGCTTTTGTTATTATTTGTCTCCTTGTCAGCTACATTTTGGGTGTAAACATCCTACTTCCTACTTGTCTCCCTTCAGACCCTTTAAAAATGAAAACAAATGCAATCCTTCACTCTATTTTTTGTACTTGCTATCATTCCTTTGTCACATTGTAAAGTATGTTAATTTTGACATTAAAAAGTAATATTCAGCACTTTTGAGTAGATGTCATTTGTTACAACATGTTTCAGTTAATGTTTTTGGGTCTATCAGCTCCTTATCTCCCACTACTCAAGTTAATCATTTTCTATGGTACAAAGACAAGTCAGAGAAAGTGCCTGAACTTGTTGCATTCAGCAGAAGTGGGTGGAGAATAACCGACATTACCTCTTTTAAATGGAAAGCACAGGGAGTGGCCACAAGGTGCTCAGAGTGTAGTTGCTCTGTACGATTTTGTTTTCTTTCTTTCTTTTCTTTTTGTTTAACTTTTAAAAAAACATGATTCCAACACTGTGCCTATAGAGATAACAGCTTGCTGTAATAACTGAATATTGTCTAATATCTGTAGCAAGCTAATCTTGTGGGATCAGATACAGCACAGCAACAAGTAAGCTATCATGAGTGGTCTGTTGTTATGGAAACAAGGTTGATGATTGGATGTAAACGGCACTTTGTGCAGCGCTTCTTTCACACATAAAATGCTACATGTGAACGCTGCCTAATAACATTTGTGAACACATAGCAACAGCAAAACATATTTTTCTAATTCATGGCAGAAAATGCATTAAGCAGCCCTACTACTCAAAAGCTCTAAATGTCCTGTGGGTGCACTGCATTATGGTCTGTTGAGGCTACTTTTGGTGAAGAAACTGAGATTTCTGCCTCCTCAGTGATCGATCTCTTGGTGTGTGAGTGTTGAGCATCAAAGCGGTGTGAAACCGTGGGTCCAAAGTGTAGCTCTTGCTCTGAGGCTCTGACACCAAAACTTAATATTTAAAATAAATGCTTTAAATGTTTTGTGTCACCACGTCCATTACTAGTGCCCATATTCACCTAAAAATAAATAAAAGCCTCCGAACAACTGAATGAAGTGCAAAAAACATTGATGAATTTGACGTGACCGATGATGAAATGGAGAGATGAAAGGCGAAAGATGAATGAGACAGCACAGATGCACACACAAAAACTTAGTCCAGGCATTTATGTAATTATCGTCACTCACACGCGGACACATGATGGGATGAATTAATGGATGTTGATGGCAACATATGAGAAATAAGTCATTCTTCTTCTCTCTGTCTCTCATACTGTGGATGAGCAAAAACCATCAGCTTGCCTATTCATCCATGTCTCCAGCCTGTAGTCTACCAGTGCGATTTGATTCACCTACCATGCATAACTGTATTAGTCATCATCACACTTCTCTTTTTAATACATCTCTCTCCCCCTACTCACCCTCACACCACAAAGTATGATTAAAAATTAGCTCTGCTGACGGTGGTTGGGGCTGTTTGGTGGTCATTTCTGCAGGATTGTACACTTTTTTTCCCTGTGTGCTATTCTTGCATTGTTCTCAAGTGTAGGAAGGTGTGTGAGAGGGGATGTGTCGTGTACAGTATGTGGCTGAGTTTAAGGAATTTATGTATGTGTAGGAGTGCATGAGAGACAAAGGTTTGTGTGAGTGTTTGAGAGGAGGGAAATGTATTGCCAATGTGCTGAACATAAAAACTCTTTTCTGGGTATTTTTATGTATTCTGTGACCCTGAGATTCTTTGCAGAAATGAAATAATAAAGTACACCTCCACCTCAGCCTTGACCTCTAAATTATATTCTGCTTATCAGTGGTGCTGATGCTAACTTTTATGTCTTTTTCTTTTCATTCTCCTGAAATAAACCCATTTCAGTGTCTCTTTCTCTCACACACACACCTTGGATGGTGGCCAGGGGATTGTTACCGAGGAGGGCTTGGCTCATCCCTGTGTTAACTCCCATCACAGTGTTCCTGTTTTGTCACACACACACACACACACACACACACACACACACACACACACACACACACACACACACACACACACACACACACGCACGCAGCACCATACGTGTGCAAGCATATATACAAACACAGACAGGCAGAGGAGAAAAGGTGAGAAAAAAAAGCAGGTTTAGCGGCAAGGACAAGCGGAGGGCAAATTCAGCCCTGCACATACAAAGAGCAGTAGTTTGCTGACAGTTGGCTGTACAGGTGTAAACAAGAGGTTAGAAATGCAGAAGGGAAAAAAAGTCTCATTAAGTATGCATTCATGTTAAAGGAGAGAAGTGATTCTAAACAAGAACACAGGATTCTGCGGAGAACAAAAGTGTATTGTACTGTGTTCTCTGCATGTGCGTGTCTCTGTCGTATTCACCTCAAGTTTGCAGCAAAATCGGTGATGTAGTTAGACACGTCACCGTTCTTTTTACCCATACGCCATAAGCTGTGAACACAAGAACCACACACACAAACACACAGAGGATTATAAAGCACTGCTGCACAAGGGGAAGCAGTGGTTGCCCAATGGCATGTTGGAATATCAGTGTGCGTGTGTGAGCACAAACAATCACTGTGTGTGTAGAGTATAAACCATTTAACTACAAACTGCAGGTGAACCGAGCATGGTGCAGTGCAGCATTCATGGTGAGCATGTACTGTATATGGAAATGTGTGGTTATGTGTGTTATACGCGTTTAAATGTTTTGCTTAAATCGATTTGTGTGTGGCGACCGCAGACAAACAATGACCTTTTAATAAATATTATAGTTCAGATGAGTTTTACCTCAAACCAAAACCAAACAAAGCTTTAATTCATAAAGAGTCAGTTCACCCAAATTACAAACTGGTGTGTAGTACTGTGAGTTTTGCTTAATTTATTCAGGTTTTGCAGTATCCATCTCTGAGATTCTTGCTGCCAAAACATTGGAGATAAATCTGTCTGTGGTGCTCAGAACAGTGAAAAATTATATTAAAAAAAATTCAACAGCAACACATTTTGTATTAGTTACTCTGGATAATTTCTAGAAAACAATGTTGAGAGTTTTAATAGGGACTATTTCTTCAGTAGAAAGTAGCTCCAATAAAAACTGAACATAGTGTGTTTCAACTAACAGGGACATTTATTTCTGGGAGCTGAGATGATGTTTTTAAATGAAATACAAATTAACATTTCACACCACAAACAAAAGTCCATTTAGCTCCACCGATGTGGCAGAAATCACAGGTTTGCTCAAAAATAACTAGTTTGTACAACATGTTGTTGAACCACGTCGGAGGGCTAATGTGTTTGTAGTTGTCACAAACAGCCACACTTAAAGAAGGAGTGAGAAGCCAGCTGTCATAGAGCTGGACAATAATTGTTTAAATATGGGGAAAATGTTGCTGTACTTATTTGTACACATGAAAAGATAGTGATAGTGAAAGTAATGAAAAAAAATGGCAAAGTTTAAACCCTGACAGCTTTTTTACCTCCTCACACCTGCTCATTGGCTGCATGAAATGGAAGTGAATATTGGATTTTCAGTTTCAGAAGGTTTCTTTTCATAATTTGGGTGAACAAACGCAACCAACCCCACATTTTCCCTGGCCATAGCTGCTGTGAAATGACTGTATTGGGTAATCACAGGTGGTGTATTGCAAAACGTCTCACGGTCTCTTACCCTGTGTTAAGGTTGAGTGTGCTGTGGCTGGGAGTGGCGGGGCTGGCCGTGCTGCGGGGAGGAGGAGTCACCGGGGAGGGTGCGGAGCTGAGGGAGGGATGGGTGGAGGTGAGGCTGGAAGTTAGGGGGCAGACGGGGGACATGGTGGTCACTGTTGTGCTGAGACTGGTCACGGCCTGTGACAGCTGGCTGGACATCTGGCAAAGAGAAAGAGAGACGGAGTCAGGTTTCGGAAACTAAAGACAGCTTATGATCAACCAGCCATTAAAATACACACAGGAAACATACTGCGAAAACTGTGACGTATTTGTCTCCATTAAAACTAACAAGTGTAACAGTGACGTCGAGGTTGGATATTTACCATGTGAGGGCTGTAGCAGGACTGTTTGTGCGTTGGTTGGGCAGTGGGGGCCTGGCTGGGCAGGGGAGGGGTGGCACTGCTAGGATTGATGCGTTTCTCTTTCTGCCGGCGGTTGCAGAACCAGACTCGGATCACCTCTTTCTCCATGTTGAGCTGCTCTGCGATCAGCAGGATTTCTTCTGAGGTAGGCTTCTGGTTCTGCAGGAAGGGAGGGAGACCGGTATTGCAATTATTTCAGCAGTGCTATATTTTACCCACATGACGCCAAACATTAAAAACATAAATAATTTGTATTGACACGGAGTGCAGACTGTGGCATTCAAAAGCTCAGAAAAAAACAGTGACTCAACAAATGACTGTGCAGTATTAAGATGACGCATTCAAATATAAAACTTCTGTGGTTACAATAGTTTCTATTACACAATCACTATAATGCTGTTTGGAGACTAAAATACACACATCTTTATTTACATTTGTCAGATCTATAAAAACATTATTAAGCAGATTGAAATCACTTATTATTAAATTAAATAATCTATTATGAAAAGTTGTTTTGTATTTGAGCCAGGCAAATATCAATTAATTCAACAAAAACATGTCAATTAATTTTAGAATGAATTATTTAATCAGCTTTTTATTTAAAATTTAAAATAAATTAAAGCCCTCTTAATGAAATAATAAGGTTAGTATCTTACCGTCATGAATGCGCGTTCCAGGGCCACACGTACATTCGTCTCAATGCTGGTTCTCTTCTTTCTGCGGCGACCAGGAAGCCCGTCGAAGCCCATAGAGGGAGAGGACAGGGAGCTGGGGCTGGGCAGGGTGCTGTCTATGGACATGGTCTCTGAAGAAGAAATAAAAACATACACAAACATTAAATAAGAATATCAGACCAACTGTCATAGAAGCACAAGATACGATTGTCTAAATGTAAAGTGATGTTATTTCGATGAGAGCTCACCTGCATCATTGAGCCACTTCTCCAGCAGTGGCTTCAGCTTGCACATATTCTTAAAGCTCAGGTTGAGGGCTTCAAAGCGGGAGATTGTGGTCTGACTGAAGTCATTGCCATACAGCTTCCCCATGGCCAAGCCAACATCTCCCTGGTGGCGAGATGAAAGAAGACATGTCAAAACATTCAATGCTAATGTAAACCTGCACATGCACACATACACAGTAGGTGTCTCTCCCTACCTGTGTGAAGCCTAATTTGATGCGTCTTTGTTTGAAAGTGCGGGCAAACTGTTCCAGCTCCTCCAGGTCACTGGGTTCCTCGGGGTGAGAGGTCACAGAGGGCACCGTGGTCATGCCTCCACCGCTCACCTCCACACTCTTATCTCGCTGTAGCAGGTACGACGTCAGAGGAATGAAAGTGAGAATGAGAGACAGAAGTGTTTGTTCATTACTGGTGCAGAGGCTGGGTTTATCTTTTCCACTGACTAAAGCTTGAAAGTTCTCTCATACCTGTGCTTGGAGTCCCATTCTAGTTGGAGCAGACAGCAGGCTCCCTTGGTTTTGCTGAGGTAGCGAAATAAGATTTGGTGTCGATAGGAGTCCTAAGAAGGAAAAATAAAGCACATTAACAATTTTTTATGATAAAAATGTGTATTTTATGTTTTCATCCCCGACTTATTTCTGCTAAAAAAAACTATCCCAGTAAGAGGCCTGCCAACCTTGCTGGCCCTGCTGTGCCTGTGGGAGGAGGAACTGGGCAGGAGACGGGAGCGGGTGGCCGGGCACCAACACCAACTGCTGAAGCTGCAGCAACTGCTGGATGTCCTGTTCAATCAAGAGAAAATGGACGGATCAGAGAGAGAAGAAAAAATATAAAGGCTGATCAGGGCTCAGTCACGCAAACATTTAGTAATTAGTATGTTTTCCATCTCAGGCTGAGAGCAGCAGATTTGGACATACAGAAAATATAGAAGTGAGAGGAAACACTTTTACTGTATAACGTAAGAGAAATGAAATGGAAAATGTGTGCATTCATGCAAGTCGGAAACTGTGAATCATGAAATATACAATTGACATGCAAGAAGAATTGTTCCATGGCTGGTTCCTCAATCAAGCCGCTCATCATGAAGTGGCTGTGATTGGCAGTCAGTACCTGGGCGGTGAGCTGGATTGGCTGAGAGAGGGTGAGCTGGGGTGGAGGTGGGACAGGGACACTTTGGGCTGTCTGTTCCTGTGTGCTCTGTCCCTGTCCCTGGGACTGCGACTGGGCCTGCTGCCCTGTTTGTCCCGCCTGCTGCTGCTGCTGCTGGGCTTGCTGATTTGCTGCTGCGGCTGCCTGAGCTTGCTGATTGGCTTGGGCGGCTGCGTGGGCAGCATGAGCGGCATGGGCTGCGCTGGACTGCTGCACAGCTGCAGCCAGGAGCTGTGCCTGAGCCTGCTGCAGCAACAACTGCTGCTGTGCTGGCAACAGAGCTGTCAACTGGCAAAGAGAAAGAGGAGGAGAGGAGAGGAGAGGAGAGGGGAGGAGAGGAGAGGAGAGGAGAGGAGAGGAGAGGAGAGGAGAGGAGAGGAGAGGAGAGGAGAGGAGAGGAGAAAATTGAGATGAAGTAGAAAAGAGGGAAATGGACAGGGGGAGATAAAGAAGGAAACTAAGTGTTCAAAAAGATGCACCAAAGAAGCAAGCAAGGTAAAAGCAAAGCAAAGTGTGTGCCTGTGTGCATATGTTGGAAGTCTGTCTTACCCCTGCTAGTTGAGAGCCAGTCAGCATGAGCTGTGTATGTTGCAGGGCAGTCTGTGAAGGGGTTGGGCCGTGGGACAGAGGAAGAGCCGGGGACATCTCACCACATTCCTCCATCTTATTCTGTGTGGAAGAGAGGGATAAATGTAGAGAAACATTAATTTAAAAAAAAACATAACATACATATATCCAAAGAAACATGCCTGCACTAAAAAGATCAAATATCAAAAAACATAAGACAGAGAACCACCTTTCCCAGAACTTCTGCTCAAAAAGGCCAGTTAGAAACGTGCAACTACATAAGCTTACCTGGCGATTTAAGATCGTGATAAGCAGCAGTACAAATTTGATGTGTACTGTATATATATAATCAGTCACAAGCAAGTCTGTCTCAGTGAACGAGAGTCCACTTGTCCCTGTTTTTTTTGCACAAAGGGATGATCTTTCCTCCCAGGATCAGGCATGTTTGAACTGGCAAACATGGACTGGGGGACTCTTCCAGGGTACTCATTTGCATATATTACTGTGGTATGCAAAATAGGATGATTCACCTTTTGGTGAGTTGTAGCATTATAGATTTAATTCAGGTCTGAAAGCACTTTGTGAAGGGAGAGTGCCATCATACTCTCAGTGAATTTGTTTACATTGAAGGCTGGGTGGAGAGTCGACACATTATGAACCTCAACGTCAAACACAACAAAAGAGCAATTGAACTGTCAATAAACCTGTTGTGTGACGTTAAAAACACAAAAGATGCACAAACATAACCCCAGACATACGCACAGACATGCACAGGCAGTTCAGTGACATGAAGACACACACACACACACACACACACACACACACACACACACATACACACACACACACACACACACACTGACCTTGCTGCTGCTCAGGGTTGGTGAAAGAGGAAAAGGATGGACTTTCATTGAATGAGCCTACAGGAGCAGAAAAAGCAAACTTTATATTAGAAATTACTGCCAAAAAATTAGTTCAAATGCATTCTTTTTTTATTGTTTCTATTTTCTTTGCTACTACAAATAGTTGATTTATCAACAACAAATAACATATTATCAATTTTTTACATTTCTTTTTAATTGTTTTATTAATTTATCAAACAAAAATGCCAAAACTCACTGCTTCCAACTGCTTAAATGGATCTGCTGCCTTTTCTCAGTTTTATTTCATTGTTAATTGAATATATTTGGATTTTGTACTGTTAACTGTTACTGCTGTTCAAGATGTCACCTTCGCCCCTGACAAACTGTGATAAGCATTTTTCACTATTTTCTGCCATCATACAGATTAAAACAATTGACAAATTAATCCATAATGAAAAAATATCATCAGCTGTACAAATATCTATTTCTGGTGGATCAATCATGTAGGTGAAAGATGGTGGAAGATAAATGTAATATTCACAGGAGTCAGATGTACCTGGTGATTTGATTCAGGTCCATTCCGCTCTGAATCTGCGTGGGAGGGAAAGGAAAAAGTGAGAAATTGATCACATGTTAGAGCACCAACACACAGACAACTGTGATACACAGTATTATATACTGTATGTACAGCATTTAATGTACAATACATATGTGTCTTGTATATTCGCTGCCAGTAACAGCAGCACATCTTACCCGTGCCTTCCAATGGTGAGTCAGCCCCTACTTTCTCCACCTCTACTGGCTTTGACATCCTGATATCTGTAAAAAGATGACACACAGATAAATAAACCAGCATCGGTTAATTCCTGAATCTGTGTCAGAGAAAAAGTGCACACAGAAGCAGAACAACAGACGGAGCAGGTGATCAGAATCGCAATGACGAAAGGGGAAAGAAGATGGCCAGGCCGCTGATCTTAGATAGGTTTTCAGGTCACAGACTGGGCCTACACACTGTACAAACTAACAATGTGGCTGAATCATTCACAAGTTCAATCCAGCTCACATTCATTCATTGTTTCCAATCAGTGGTTTAACATAAGAGTAGGTTGCCCAAGGTGTTTGCTTGTTCTAAATTTAACCCAAGGTGTTTACGTGGGAGCAATTCAGCCCTAAAAATGTCTCACGTTGTGTGTCATTCATTATAAGACCACATCACTTCCTGGTTGATAGAGTATCGGGACAGTCCCTATGGCAACAGCAGTGAATGAAGCAACACATGAAATTGTCTTTAATTCTATGTATTACCAAAGGAATTGGGCATTTTGGCAGCAGAGAGTGTATGGGAGATGGGAAAGAGGATGATTTGAGGAGAGTATAGAGAGAATACATGTGTGCGTGTCTGGTTGTGTGCATGTTTATATACTATAGTGTGTGTATAGTTTTGTTTTGTTAATCACCCAATTGTATCATCTCACTACAAGCCTTTTTATTTGTCTGAAACCACAAACTGTAAGACAACTTATTGTTGTGTCCATTTGAAACCTTTTTTTCTTTCTCTCTCGTTCTCTTTCTCCCTGACAAGCACACACACACATAGACACACACATAGAGCTACTTCCCTTTTGTGAAAACATGCAAATCTGCCCAACGACCAACTAATTATATCTGCCACCTGCATAATAAACTCTCAGTCTCCCTCCTCCTTTTTCTCTCTCCCCTTTCACCCCCTCCTCTCCCCTTCATCTCTCCACGCTTCATCCTGTTTTTTTTCTCATGTTGCACACGAGAGAGCACTGACACTATGGCAAATCATTTCATTTTCCCATCAGCTTATTGCTGTGTTTTTATCAATCTGACACACTAGATACAGAAAATACTCTTATTTGACTTTCAGCAATTCCAGCAAGCAGCTGGTCAAACATGGTTTTCACCATTGGGGGGCAGCAGCGACACATGGAGAAGAGGACAAACCTGCTCCACTGACCAACACTAGCCTGATGCCACTTTTAAGTAACCAAACCATCAGTCCAGTGCAATCATTATGAAGGCAAGAATGTATAGATAAAATGAGCCACTCCTTGTTTGAAAGCCCTTTCAGCGTCAGAAACACATTTGTTTCAGTGAAACATGTGAGAACAGTGGACTTTGGTACATGCAGAGTCTTTAGTGAAAGGGGGAAGTGGTGAGCAGCTAGAAAAGCTCCACTCTACCACCACGCTAGTTATAACCTGGGGTCAGGGAACACACACACACACTGACCGCAGGATTTCCCTCAAATAAATGGACTTCTGCAAAAAGCTAATTTGGTCTCCAACCATATGGATGCAAGCATATTAGGGTGAATTTGTGGTTATTCCAACATTACATTCTGCTCCTTTTGGTATTCTATGGCATGGCTAAAACTGTCCAAAGTTGCTCAATTGATGGTTAAAAAAAACCCACTGAATCTGCAACAAGATGCAATGTCTTCCCCTCAAGATGCACTCATTTAAAACTTTTTAAAAGTTTATGAAAAACAGTATTAATAATATGTGAATTTAACTGGGCTGTCTTTTGCTCAAATCATCATGTGCAGTGTACAGTACCAAAGCCAAATCCACCATATAAAATGATTGGCCAGCTCATAAAACAGCTGTAATGTGAAGTTTCCAAAGTGCTACCTACTGTACTGTACTGCCTGCTCACGGGACACCCAGGGAAGCTGGGTATTGATTCATGGTTCAAAATGGCCTACAGACAGTAGTATGGTGGATAATGTGGTCAGTAATACAGTGGTGGGACAGTATATCAAGATGTTGTGTCTTTTTCTCACTTCCCCTCCCGACTTCCCCTTGTACCGGGTTGAACGCAGAGTGCTAAACCCAACACTTACTGTCAGCGAGGCTATTAATATTAGCCTGTTCTCTCTCACTCTTTCTCTCTCTATTTCACTCTATCTTTTAAAGCCTCTCTCTCTTTTACAACACATTGCTGCACACCAAACACACAACTAATTTTTTACTTGACGCAGAGCAGTATTACATGTTATGAATCTTCATATATAGATATATATTTCTTCATTTATCAGTGGTTCCTTGTTCATCTTTGTATGAGGGAGAAAAAACTTAATTTACAGAAGTGTTAGGCAGTGCAAGCTTAAATTAGTATGTCTATTTCGTCCATCATTAAGCTGTTACGGTATATGCTAATCTTACAGCAAAGCTTAGGGTTTATCTTTGACCCAGTGAGACCAGAGAGCTACACCATACTCACTGTATCTTAAATAGTCAAATTTAATGCTGTATAATCCTGTGTCATGAATACATGATGCAACAGAAAGGAACAAGGAACAACAGTGTATGTGCTCAGTCTGGACTGTTTCTGTTATTCTCCTCTGGGTATTTTGGCTGAGATGAAACTCCGCTGCAACCATCCCGAACCCCCCACTAACACCCCACCCCTCACGCCACTTCCTGATTCAGGACACAACCCCAGCGCCAACGGGGGTGTCTGGGAACTGGAATCATCACAACTACTAACTACGTATTTCAAAAACCAAGCAGCGCTAAGGGGTACCAATTTTGATTGCAAAGATTTCCATTTAAAAACTGAGCGTCAAAGAATCGGCTATCCGGCTCAACAGCTTGAGCACATCTGCATGACGAAAAACAAAAACTACATTGCAGTCAAAATTTCAGAATGACTGAGCCAAAAAAAGATAAAGAAGTGGATGAAAAATTAAGGAATAATGGTACTGCAGAGAAAAATCTCACAATAAAGTAAGAAGCTTAAAGAAAACTTGAGATGTCACAACAGCAGCAGAGTGACCATCAAGGCTGTGACATTTCATTATAGTCTGTGCGGCTGACATTGTTGGTTGTTATATCAGTGTTGAGTTACTGTCTGTCTGTATCATCTACTTCACAAAAATTACAAATTACTTAAAATGCTAGAAAATATAAGAATATAAGAAAATTCTGCTGGAATATAGACAGATATCACAGTGGCAGGCCTCTATCAGTGAGAACCTTTCTGACAATTCAAACAATTATTAGCATAAAGAAATATATTTTTTTCACTTATTGCATTGATGCACTTATTCAGACAGTATGATTAATTAAAATTGGGGAAATGCCAATGTGTAGCCAAAGCCAATACGTAATATTTCTCATTTATTCACTTATAATTCTGGCATAAATTAGCAAAACTGGTGAATTGTTTAATCAAGTAGTAGCATGTGAAAATAAATGTACATCATCATTTTTAACTAAGGAAAATGTATTATTACATTCTTCTGAATTTTGTCTTGCATTAACCTGCTATAAACAATTACACTAATATGGACCTTTGACGTATTTGCATTCTGGTATATTCTAGTTTGTTGTAGTTTGGTGCTGTGAATGTGTCACTCTGGTCAAAGTAACTTACCGAAGGTCACAGCAGTGATCACCACAGGTTAAGATTTGACTCACTGATTCATAAAGCATGAATCAGACATTGATAAACAAAGATTGTCAAAGGAGATTATTTAAAATCATATCTGCACACCAAAGAATTATGAGCTAATTGACATTTAAAAATAATTTCTGGTAATTGGTGAGTCAGCTAACATCACGCCGTGCTTTTCTCTGAGACTTGTTGTCGGTCAACCGAGACTGTGTCTGCCACTTCACTCAGCTTGAGCTGACCACTAAAATAAGGCCCCGGGGCAAGAAGAGTCACGTTTTGTTCTGCTTTGTTTTCATATCAATTTTCAAATACTGAGAATGACAATTATTTTAGGCATTTCCCCTTTCCATCGTCTGTCTTTTTTTAAAACAAGTATCTTCGATTCTGAGTGCTTTTGAATTAATGGACAGAAATTTAAATTTAAAAAAGGGTAAAGTAGTAATCAGTGCAACCTTCCCACACCTCCAACACAAACACACACATAAAGAAAGTTAACACCAGTTTAAAAGTTGCACGGGAAGAAACCTTATCAGCTAAATGTCTACTAAACTGAACACAAATGCAGCACTGCCGCAGTGCTAAACAATAAAAAGAAAAGGTATTTCATCATGACCAAAGAAAAATAACAACAATATAGAAAAATACAGGTGAGGCACGCAAGCTGCAAGCTTTTTTCATTACCAGTACATTTCAAAAGACATTTCAAAAACTTTTTTACTGTATTTTCTTCAAGCTTTTTTAGCATTGAGTATTCAGTATAAACACACACACACAAACAGAAGCATGTTATGGGCTGGCGAGGTGTCTGACCTTTCCATCTGCTTGCGACAGGCGTCCACCCATCCATCCATCCATCCATCTTCCCTCCATCCATCCACATCTTTCTCCTCGTACCACCTCTCGCTCTTTGATGTTCTCTAATTAGCTGAGCTTGTTAGACCCAGTGGCATTAATCAACAGTGTAGACACAGTTCTCTTTCTCTCTCTCTCTCTTTCTCTCTCTCACACTCTCTCTCTCTCTCTCACACACACACACACACACACAGTGCCCTCTTGCTCACGCAAAGCTTAATTGGTCTTGGTAAATGAGGGCCAGCAAAGAGAGGGCTGCACAGACAGTCACTCACCTGGCAACCACATACTGGAGAAGTCCTTTGCTGCTATTGCTGCTGTCTTGGTCATATCTGTGTCTGTGTTAGAGTGTGTGCGCGCGCTACGTAAAGAAAAACTCACTCTCCCTCTCTCCGACTCTCTCTCTAACCCAAAAGGAGTAGTGTATTAAATCATATGGTTGAGAGAGTCACTCTCTCTCTCTCTCCCTCCCTCCTCATACAAGTCCACACCCCCAAGCTCCACCTCCTCCCCACATCCTGCAACACAACAGGAAGTAAGCCTCAAAAGAGTAGGAGCTCGGCACAGAGAAGAGAAAAATACACGACAAGAAAAAAAAAAAGAAAGAAAGAAAAGCAAGGGGGACACGCAAGAGGTTAGAGAGTGGGAGAGAGTGAGTGAGTGAGCGCGGAGATAGAAAAGATAGACGAGGTGAAAAAGAGGGGGATGATGGGTGCCGATGGAAAGTGATGGCGCGACTGGAAACAGCCACTCACACACACGCTCACTCACACAAGAGAAAAACAGCAAGCTTGACATTCTGACTGAAGAGCGTATGATACATTTATACAACATATGACCCAGTGTACCCTCAAAACCTATCCAACCTATCTCAACTGATCAGAGTTTTCCCTCAACTCTAAGTGATTTTAACAAAGCCCTTTATACACTGTACCATGAGTCATGACCGTCTCTCCTCGGTCATATCTGCCTCTGTATCTGAATGTGGAACTGTTGTTAGAGAGTACATCGGTGGGTGTACAGTGGTCGGTTGAGGGAGGTCGGCACCAACAAGAGAAGATGTGAGACATCCTCAGCTAAGTTTAGCAGCAACAGCTCCACTCTAACCCGAGCGGAAGGAAAAACTCAGTCACAACACTACCACTGACCACCCCACACTGTGGGCTGCACACACTGATACACCACAGGGTGCCACACCATGAATCGGTACATGTAGCAGGAACATGTGGCATGAAAATGGAACATTGCAGATAAACTAGATATGACCCACTATCAGTGCCACCCACTAGGATTAACAGACTAAGCAGCTGCTAAATAAGTGAAATTCTGAAATCGGGGAATGATCTCGAGGAAGCAGAATAGCACGTTTCAGCAGAAATACTGCCTAGATTTTCAAATCTGAAAGTGTCATTGTGCTGTTCACCACAAGGTGGCACTCTTGATTCTCTAATCCTGATGAAGAAACAGGCTCCATCTACGGAAAAGAGGAGAGGCAGACCACTGATCACCCCCTCCCTCCCCTTCCTTCTCCCTTGGTCCGAGTTCACTAATTCAAAAGCTAACGGCAGCAGAGTTCCCAAGTTTAACCTTATAAATACTTTATGTGGTGATTTACAACAGCCCAATGTACTGCTGGATAGACACTCACTGAGAAGTGCATACGGCACAGCACTGGAGGTGCCCTCAGTTATACAGAGACATCTTTTTTAAATCTGGCCTCACATACATAAAAAATACTGATACAGGCAACATCAGTATAAAAACTTGACATGAACTTCCTATTTTGACAATCAATTGATAATTTTTGTCATTTTTAAAGCAAAAGTGCAGAAATCCAAACTTCTGTAATGTGTGGATTTGCTTTTCTTTTCTTTGTCATACAAAACACTGACCTGAATGTCTTTGGGTTTATAGCGATGATGCCATTTAGATGAGAAATCCTGAATGTTGTTTTTTTTTTTTACCATATTATGACATTTTATAGACAAACAATTAATTAATGAATTAATCATTAGTAACAGCCCTAACAGGATTTGCTTCCCCAGTTCTTACTTTTTTGCTAATAAAACAAACAACTAATATCACAGTCCAATAACTGCAGACCCAAACACACTTAAGGCCTGAGACACATCTTCAGTTTCATCAATTTATTTTGGCCACATTACTTTCATGTTAATGTTCTTCATCGGGGAAGATTTGTTAATCTACCTGTAAGAAATCAGGTGAGAACGAGAAGAGCGTGTATGTGTGTGTGAGTGAACCCATTGGCCAGGCCTGTCCGAGGACGGTGACAGACTGCGTGTTCGGGAGGGGGCGTTTCTTTGGGTCAGAGGTCGTCTGGGCAGCCTGGCTTTGGCCGTGACCTTTGTTCAAACTCCAATCTACCGACATAACTACCACAGTGTGTGTCTTTGTGCATGTGCATTTGTTTGAGTAGCTACAATAGGTGGCTAAGTGTGCTGTGTGTGTTTGTGTGTGTTTTACAGTTCATGGCCATGGGGGGCCTTCCTGCCCCAAGGAGGTCTGAGCCTCGGTTACCATGGAGACCAGACCTAGCAACACCACAGCCTTGCCACTTAGACGAAATTGGGCCGACGGCAAATGGTCTCAATTGAAGTTGACATATTAAAGCGTACTACATAACAAACTGTGATATCATTAACTTGAACGAAACAAAGAAAACACAGAAAAAATACAAAACATTTATAAATGAGTATTATTCCGATTTTCTTTAGGGAATATGAGCTATATTTGTACATACGTGTTTTGGTCACCACCAGAACTTATTGTTTGTAAGATAATAAACACACACACGTATATACACATACACATATACACACACACAATCTGATAGTGGGACCCCAGGGAGGAGGATGGGGGTAGGCTGGGGCCTCTAGAGCGCCATCAATCACTCCACTGTCAGAGAGAGAGGGAGAGGCAGGGAGGGAGGATTGGGGGTTACTAAGAGAGAGAAAATAGTGAAGGAAAAAAGGAGGGGAATAAAGGAGAAGGGAAAGAGTTGCAGGAATGAAGGTGAGAGACAGAGAGACAGGAATAAAAAGATTGGAGAAAGGATGATAGCTGGGGGTAAGGAAGGTGGGAAAAGACTGTACGTATAATGGGTCATTGCAGGGACAATTCTGAGGTCTCCAAACCAGTTCAGTGTCCCTCTACAGCTCGGTCCTCCTATATCTAGAGCAGCCTCGGGCCTGGAGCACACACTGGCTGTAATTCATATAATCCATCATATTCCCTCTTCTTATAGAGGGGACAGAGCACGGCTCAGTGATGGACCCACCAAGTCCTATACACAGTCCAACAGCAAGACTCTATTCTACAAGGTGAGAGATTTAAAATCCAGTCTTGTGTATAGGTGTGTGTGTGTGCAGGTGCAGCCCCATGAGGAGTTGCAGGATTATAAACAGTAGGTCTAGCAGTGTGGAGACTACAGAGGTTGAGGTTTTGTATGAGAAGCAGCAGGGGCTAAAACACACTCACACTGTTGGCTGCCATGGGACCTGCGCCATCTCACACACACACATACACGCCGCCTACACCTTTACAACACCTATTCCTCTCCTGTCCTAATACCTCTCAATCGCTCCTTTTCCTCTGGCCCCTCAGCCCCTCCATCCTTCTCTCACACCATTCCCCCTTCTCTCTATATCATCTCGGCAGCCCATAGGGAGCCAGGCTTGTCTAGACAGACACCGTTCTCTCCCACGGCGCTACCAAGGTTGAAGCTCATCTTTTTCTTCGCTCCTATCACCCCCTCTTCCTATTCTACTTCTCCTTCTCCTGGCACGAGAGCGGAGGGACTGCCGCGAGGGAAACTGGTGGCCTTCATCGCCGCATCGAGGAGCACTGAGGCCACTTTAGACTAAACTGTTCACTTACACTGACAAAGCAGGCTGTAGATTTAGACTTTATGTTCTCCCAATTAAAATACAAACAAATGGGAGCACTTTAGTTATTGCAACCCTCGTCTTTTTGCGCTCTTTCCGCACACCCGTCCCCTCTTCTTCACCTCAGCCTGTTCTTCACCTGCTCTGCCTCTTTTCCTTCAGACCCCTCTCATCATCATCATCATCATCATCATCATCATCATCATCATCATCCCACTCTTTTTTCACGACCTTCTCCCTTTTCTTTCTTCAATTTAAACTTTCTCTTCCCCTCCTCTGTCTCTCTTTCTCTCCCAGACCTGCTGGTCAGCAGCAGCTGTGACATCACTGGCCACTGTTCTCCACTCGGATTGGACACTCGGCCACGTTGCCAGGCAACAGCAGTGAAAGGTCTCAGTGTGAGCGTGTGTGTGGCGTGCGCGTGTATGTGTGTGTTTATGTCTGTTTATAGCTACGTGAGTGAAAGGTGTGTGAGCGATTTTCCTCGCCTTGCCCTTTATCTGTGCATGAAGAATGATCAGAACAGATCTACTTCTATGCTTTATCTCAGATCAAAGCATGTAGATGATTGGGCTGCCTCGCCACTCTCCTCCACCACAGAAGAAGAGGGGTGTGTGTGCATGGCGTTAATGAAAAAGAAAGATGGTACGAATGTGCGTGTGTGTCAGTGTCTGCACTTGCGTCGAACCAAATAAATGTGTATGTTCGTGTCGAATACGGGTATGTGTCTGTATATTGTGTGTGTGTCTAAATGTGTGCGTGTGTATGTATGTGTGTAAGCCCCCGGGAGCGGGTGGTTATTGTATCTGACACAGCGGCTCTTTCTCGCGCCTCATATTTCTGGGCCGATCGATTCCTCTGACTCCCGACAAGACAATAATCGCACCTCCCTCTCTCACTCCATCACTACCATTATTACTGACCTCCCCAGGGAACGAACAGGGTGGAGGGAGGGAGAGAGGGATGAGGAAGGAAGGAAGGAGGGAGGGAGGGTGAGGAATGAGAGGGGGACATAGAGTTGACAAAATGAACCTATGATGATGAAAAAGCAAAAAGGGACAGTGTTGAAAATGAGACAGGAAGAGTTGGCCTGGAAAAGGGACATCAGCGGGGAAAAAAAGGCGAGAGCGAGGAAGTTGAGATAAGGTGATGGAGGGATGAGGTCTGAGGGAGAAAAGAGAAGAGGAAAAATAGGGATGTGACACCTGTGTAAGGTGATAGAGTGACAGAAAGAACGAAAGAAAGCTAAGGCATAACAAGAAAGGACAGAACGCAGGTCAGGGCCAAAAAAAAGAAGAAAGAAAGAAGCAAGCAATATAGATCACAGCGAAAAAAGAAAAAGGAGG